TGGCTTTACATAAAAATAAATAAATAAATAAATACATGAGAAAATAAATAAACAAATAAATAAATAAATAAATAAATAATGTGATTGGAGTACCAGTCTGACGCAGAACGAGCTCGGTGCTGGAATCTAAATCTAATTTGTGTGTTTGTGTGTTTGTGTTGCAGGTTTTCTCCGCTGCATCATGCGTCTCTTAATGGGAACGTTGAGCTCATCTCCCTGCTGGTGGAGTCACAGGCGAACGTTGACATCAGAGACCAGAAAGGTGAGGAGCGAACACAAACACACAGAAGATAAAAAGAAATCCAGATTGTGCAGAAAAAAACTAAAAATATATGAGCAATTATTATATTATATTTGATCCAAGGCCTTGTTTTCATGCCTTTGTTATTTGGCTTAACAAGCACAGGACAGAATTTGATTGAAATAATGAACTGATCGAGTTAACGTGACCCAACAGGTACTTTCTAGTCTTCCCAGTCTACAGATATAAAATAAACCCACACAGCAGACAGGTGTGGGCCAAATCAGGTGTCAAGCTAGCACYGCTGGCATGGCAAGTGGTCCATCAACTGGATGTGGGCCAGGTCTGCCAATGATAGCCCACATTTCGTCAATGCCACTACTGGCTCGGTTGTGGTTTGGTTTATACTGTGCTTTCCCATTCATGGACCACCTCTGGCAAACCACATCTGGGCCATCAAAGGGCTGTCATTCTTTGTGGTATCTTGTGTTAGAGTGTTGAGTGTATTGTGTGGACCAGAACTGGGCCAGACAAATGTTGCTATGCTGTTATATATTTAGACTATGCTATATGTTTAGCCTTGAGAAACAAATTTTATAGTTTTGTAGTAAAGAGATTGTTTACTAGAGATTTTATCGAGAGGAAAATTTGTTTTATCTTTTATTGMCTTTGAATGGATGATTCACATTTTTATTACCTCCTCACTGGATTAATGTAACTCTGTCGGTGTTAGCCAGGCCGGCCTCTGTTGGTTCAGAAGACTGCAGCGCATTTTTTAACATGAACAAAAAAGCGACCATGGTGATGGATTCCCTTCACTGACTCCTTGTTTGTCAAAGAACTGATTTTAAATTTTAAGTTATGTGCCCTCCAGATCCCCTCAGATTTAATGATCAACTGACCATTTATCTCGAGGTCCAGGCTGGTCCACAGAGGTGATCGAGCCGTTTCAGTTTTTTTTAATCCTAACCCCTTTTTTGTAACTAAGAAAGTAAACTTAGAATCAACAAAAGTTTTGTGCTTTTTTTTTAATCTAATTGCTCTGAGTTATAACAGGTTTTATGTCAAATAATTGGGGAGCAAAACCACAAGCTGGTAAAAATAATCCCTTCTTCAGTTTTTGGATTTTATTTTTGTCAAGTGAAAATGGAAATAATGAATGATCCATGAATTCTGAGCTTTCACACAGCTGTGTTTAGAGAACAAACAGCTCCCATCAGGTTTGACTCACGTGCTCTGTGCTGCAGGCATGCGGCCGCTGCACTACGCGGCCTGGCAGGGGAAGGCGGAGCCGATGAAGATGCTGCTGAAGGCAGGCTCGTCTGTCAACAGCCAATCAGACGAGGGACAGATTCCACTTCACCTCTCGGCACAGCACGGCCACTATGACGTGGTGAGTGACCTGATGCTCCTCTGTGTTAACTGTGTCACAGTGAAGTTGAGTTTAAAAAAACATTCCTCAAAATTTAAACCTTAACATTGTTGTCTGTTTAATTATACAAAAATATTCAGACTAAAATGCCAGGCTCTTAGGACCGCTGCACTTTGCTCTTTCAAATAACAGAATAGGGTATTATTGATATAATGTTGTATAAACTGCATTAAAACTTTAGAGATTAAACCTGTTTTAGAACTGACTCCTCTAGTTTTAACTGTGCTTGGACCACCCTGTCCAGGACCAGCTCTAGCCACTTTGGTGTCCTACGTAGGTGAAATTTTATTATTATTTACTGTTTTCAGGTTCCTGTTAGACAAACCTGACCTGTTGAGAAGATGGTTAGCCAATATCAGTAGTAGGGCTGTGAATTGGCAACAATTTGGCGATATGATACGTATCATGACAGAGGGGTCACGATACGATATATCCCGATATATCCCGAAATATTTTGATACTGTAAACAAGGCGATATATTGCGATTTTTTGGGTCCAAAAATTCTAATAAATAAAAACTTCATACTGTAAAAAAAAAAACACCGAAAAACCAAAATTCATTGTCTCAGAAAATTCTAATATTAAAGACATACTTTTGATACATTTAGCTGTGTTCTGCTTTGTATTGGCAAGAATTTGGCGATACGATACATATCATGACAGAGGGGTCACGATACGATATATCCTGATATATT